AACTCACCTGCAGCATCATCGCATGACAACAGATCAATTTCGATTTAGAACCCGAGCACTTCATTTGCCGAAATCAACATTCGATCTATTTGACAAGATCCGAAGTGAATGTGAAGTTTGCCAAGTGGCGAAACATGCACCATCACGAAGCAAGACAAGCGGACTTCGAGCGGACACCTTTGGTGACATGACATTCATTGATCACTGTCAAGTTCCTCTTGGAACCGGAGAACACATCATTGTTTTTGTCATCCTGGATGGAGCAACAACATTGCTCACTGCAGAGGCAGTGACAACTACGCAAGAAGTCGAGAACATCACTGTGCTCAGGAACTATTTTGACCAGTACCACTTGCAGCCCAAATCAGTTGTCGCAGATCAAGCCTTCATGACAGACACATGGAAACATTTCTATCAGTCCCTTGACATCACTCCAATATCTCTGGGACCGAATACACCATGGCCAAATCGAGCTGAAGCAGCAGTTCGGCTCCTGAAGGCACAACTCAAGATCATGCTGAGTTCCATCAAAGCAGGCACTGCACCTGCAACGCTGAAGAAAGTGACCTATAGGCAACTGGTGAAGGCCGCTGCAACTGTCAGGAATCAGACCGTCACCTACGGGGGAGTAACACCATTGGAGCTCGCATTCGGAAGACGACCAGCAGATCTCATCCAACTCGATGTCGCAACTCCAACTCAGTTGACGATTGACAGGAATGAAGAAGAGATGACAGCCATCCAGATCAAGCAGCTTTTTTTTTCCAAGAAGCACGTCAATCCGAGGACATCCGACGAGACCTTGCTCAAAATCTCCGAATGAGTTCAAAGCCTCTTCAGGTGAAGGACAAGGTATTTTACTGGCAGGAAGACAAATCCAAGATTCGTTCCGATGGAAGCAAGGGAGGAATATGGCTAAAAGGAAAAGTCATTTCTATTGAAGGAGCAATGGTAGGACTTGATCTTGGGACTCGACTCATCAAGGTTAACATGACGAAGCTCAGGAAGGATGAGACAATCCCTCCGGGGAAACCCGGAATTGACCTTCTGTTGCCTGAAGAGCGAGAATCCTTGCAGGAGGAGCCAGGCTCCTCTGTAGATACCAAGAAAAAGGAATCATCCGCACCAGCTCCTAAGCCAAGATCCTCAGTGCCATTACGTATCGCGGGAAAAACAACTCCAAAACCTGCAGTACCTCATTCAGCAGAGAACATGAAGCTGAGCAACTCACAATTAGAATCCCGTGCGGAGGAGGGGAGCAACCACGTGCTGGGTCATAATTAGAATTTTCCTGACATGGTATCTGCGACGTGTGCGCAGCAGGATGGGAGAGGAGAGGAGCAGCCATTCGCTGGGTCATAGCTAGAATCTGCGACACAACGATGTTTGGGACACGCGCGCAGAAGGACGCACGGTAGGTTGCAAGCTGGGTCATGATTCTTGTGATGCTGCGTGTGTCGGTTAGGGCGCGAAGGGGGTTAGGAGGCGTTCGGCAACGGTTTTGGATTTTTGTTGGTTCATGTGCAGTTTGCGGTGTGGGGTGATGTCGGGAGAGGAGCAGAGCAACCATGCGCCGGGTCACAATTAGAATCCCGCGCGGAGGAGAGGAGCAACCACGTGCTGGGTCATAATTAGAATTTTCCTGACATGGTATGTGCGACGTGTGCGCAACAGGATGGGAGAGGAGAGGAGCAGCCATTCGCGGGTCATAGTTAGAATCCCCCGCGGCACAACGATGTTTGGGACATGCGCGCAGAAGGACGCACAGTAGGTTGCACGCTGGGAACGACGTTATGCGCCAAATAAGGCTGTCGACGCCGATGACCAACACCATGAGGATGCTGAGTTCAGTATCGACTTTCCTTGTTGTGAACAGCTCATCACCAGCAGTCATCACAATCATCCTGTCCGCGCATCTTGTGCATCTTAAATCGGATGATAAGAATCATAACGTATCCTCAGCATCACCAGCAGTCAGCGCGATAATCCTGTCCACGCATCTTGTGCATCTGAAATCCGATGATAATCATGAGGACGCATCCTCAGCATCACCAGCAGGCATAGCTTTTGCATCTCAAATCGGATGAGAATTATCACAATGCATCCTCAGCACCGCCAAAACGTATAGAAGAAAGAGATGATGAGGACAATCGTGATGAGGATGGTTGTGTTGATGAGAATAAGAGTAAGAATAACAGCGCTGATGACCTTCGCATCATGATTGATGGTAAGAGTGATGACGACCTTCATGATAATCAAATCAATCATCACTATGCATCCTCATCATCAGCAGTCATCGTGATAATCCTGTCCACGCATCTTTTGCATCTCAAACCGGACGATAAATTATCATGACGCATCCTCAGCATCACCAGTAATCATCGCGACGCATCCTCAGCATCACCAGCAGTCATCATGACAATCATGTCCACGCATCCTCGGCCCAATGGTGCCTAACGGCGCACTTGAAACGTATAGAAGAAAGAGATGATGATGACAAACATGATGAGCGTGATTGTGTTGATAACCATCATGACGCGTCCTGAGCAGCGCCCGTAATCATCACGACGCATCCTCAGCATCGCCAGCAGTCATCATGATAATCATGTCCACGCATCCTCGGCATCACCAGCAGTCATCACGATAAGCACGTCCACGCATCTTCTGCATCTCCAATGGTGCCTAACGGCACACTTGAAACGTATAGAAGAAAGAGATGATCATGACAAACATGATGAGCATGATTGTGTTGATAGCCATCATGACGCATCCTGAGCATCACCAGTAATCATCACGACGCATCCTCAGCATCACCAGCAGTCATCATGATAATCATGTCCACGCATCCTCAGCATCACCAGCAGTCATCACGATAAGCATGTCCACGCATCGTCTGCATCTCCGATGGTGCCTAACGGGACACTTGAAACGTATAGAAGACAGAGATGATGATGGCAATCACGATGAGCATGCCTGTGTTGATAATCATCGTGACGCATCCCGAGCATCACCAGCAGTCATCATGATAATCATGTCCACGCATCCTCAGCATCACCAGCAGTCATCACGATAAGCGTGTCCACGCATCTTCTGCATCTCCAATGGTGCCTAACGGGACACTTGAAACGTATAGAAGAAAGAGATGATCATGACAAACATGATGAGCGTGATTGTGTTGATAACCATCATGACGCATCCTGAGCAGCACCAGTAATCATCACGACGCATCCTCAGCATCGCCAGCAGTCATCATGATAATCATGTCCTCGCATCCTCGGCGTCGCCAGCAGTCATCACGATAAGCGTGTCCACGCATCTTCTGCATCTCCAATGGTGCCTAACGGGACACTTGAAACGTATAGAAGACAGAGATGATGATGGCAATCACGATGAGCATGCCTGTGTTGATAATCATCGTGACGCATCCCGAGCATCACCAGTAATCATCACGACGCATCCCCAGCATCGCCAGTTGTCATCATGATAATCATGTCCACGCATCCTCAGCATCACTAGTAATCATCGCGACGCATCCTCAGCATCACCAACAGGCATCATGATACTCATGTCCACGCATCCTCAGCATCACCAGCAGTCATCGCAATCATCATGTCCACACATCTTCTGCATCTCCAACGGTGCCTAACGGGACTGTAGGTAGCATCCTCTGCATCACCAATTGAGCCTAACGCCACACTTCAACCAATACTGGATGAGGATGGTGATGATGATGATACTGCTCCTGGCGCGTGTTGCGGGCAATATGCTCATCCGAGCAAGTTTCGGATGAACACGGTCCAAAGCCAACTTGATGGTCATCGTAGCAATTTTCTGCATCACCAATGCATCCTGTGCCTCACCAACACCAATTGAAAGAAAAGGGTGCTGATGACCGTCGTGATGACAACGGTGATGATGACGGCCCAGCTGTTATCATGATAATCATGTAGCTGTCCAGCAATCCTCATGACAATCATGTCCACGCATCTTTTGCATTTCAGTTCGGATGACAATCATCATAACGCATCTTCAGCATCACCAGCAGTCATCATGATAATCATGCCCACACATCTTTTGCATCTAGCTTGTTCATCTCAGCTACAATTGAAAGCGAAAAAAGAGTTGATGATGAGCATCGTGATGACAATCTTTTTGCCACCCTTCCCGTGCGCCTCCCCTTTGGAGACGGGGTCGGCGGATTTATTTTTGTTGGATATGTTTACAAACCCTGCAGCTGGTCACACAATAGTGGCACGTTGCAACACTTAGCCTCGCATGCAACATTCTAACTCTACGGCCAGTCACCAGGGTTGTGACCTCCGAACCGACTCGAACTGCCTGAGATCCATTTCGGCTTTGCCCTCGTGGGCCTTTTGTGCCTGTAGATTACCTGCGGATGGGGCAATGTTCCCTGTGCCGGTGTTGTTCCAGGCATTGTTTTCGACACCCAGTGCGCCACCTCCACTTCAAAACCCCTAAACTCTAAGCCTGCAGCACCTAAAGCCAAAACCCTGAACCTAAACCTCGCCTGCTCCAAGTTCCTGGGTGGTGGCAAAGTATCACGTTCTTGAAGGCACGCAGCTTTGTCCCAGCCAAGTACTACAAAGCGGAGCCATGCTTGGGTCATGTGGTGCTGCCAGCAACAACAGCATGCGTGCGCTGGATCGGCAGTCGACTGATCTGCACGCTACGAATATTCTAATTTGACGGGACGCATTGGAATTTTCAGCATTTCTTGCCATCCTTTTGACTTTCAGAACCTCAAGAGAGTGTGCATAGATGTAGTACTGATGAAGTGCTTGCTGACTGGTATCGTTGCAAAAGTTTAGGCCAGAATTGGAAGGCTTTTCAATATGATTAGCAACGCACCGAGCAAACTGTGCCACATATCCATTGGATACGCATAGATGGTGGACGCTCTCTCTCTCTCTCTCTCTCTCTCTCTCTCTCTCTCTCTCTCTCTCTCTCTTGAATTTAGAGCTTGATTCGCACTCCATCAGGTGATGTCTTCAAAATATGAGCCTGGCCTGTGCTTTACGGAAAGCAGGAAATGTTGTTTATGCCTTGTTTATCACTCTCTTTGGCATTGCTAGGCTTGTCAATGTCTCACACAGAAAGGTTTCACTGGCAGCTCAGACTGAAGAGTCAGCAAACCCTAGCAGCATGGTCAGGTATGATTCATGATTCACCCTTTGGTGTGCCAATCGTTTATGCTGTTCAGTTTGACAGCTTCGAGTCAGATGGTGTTGGTGCGAGAAGCCAACCGTGTACAAATTCAAGGGACAGAGCTGTTCCACCCAGATAGGCGCTAAAGAGTAGCAAAGAATGGAGCTTGTGTTTGCAGCAGAAGCACTGTGTCCATTGAAGTGGCCTTGAGGGCTGGGTGCATTCACGGAATGCGCGCGTGAGAGAGGCTTGTGATGGATATGCAATGCCTCTCGCACATTTGGCTCTCGAGCTCTCCCAGTCCTAGCAATCAAGTTCAGTTTGCATTCATGTATGCATCAATCACATGCGTTCAACAGCTTCAGTACAGAAAGCTACACAGCTACAGCAGCCACCAATTCCCTTTGTCAATGCATCGAGTCATTCTTTCAGTCTGCCTATGGAGACTGACATAGCGAGGCTGTCCACGTCCTAGCATTGTGTCACGAAAAAACAAGAAAGACAAAACGCAAACACACAAACACACACGCAGGCAGGCAGGCAGGCAGGCAGGCAGGCAGGCAGGCAGGCAGGCAGGCAGGCAGGCACGCAGGCACGCACGCACGCACCCACCCACGCGCGCACGCACGCACGCATGCACGCACCCACACACACAAACACACACACCCACCCACCCACGGCGCGGCGCGGCGCGGCGCGGCACGGCGCGGCGCGGCGCGGCGCGGCGCGGCGCGCGCGCGCGCCGGCACGGCGCGGCACGGCCTGGCCCGGCCCGGCGCCGCACGGCGCCGCACGGCACCGCACCGCACACGCCCACGCGCACACGCGCACACGCGCACACGCGCGCACGCGCGCACGCGCACACGCGCACACGCACACACGCGCACGCGCGCACACGCACACACGCACACTTGCACACACGCGCACACGCACACGCACACACACAGACACACACACACAGACACACAGACACACAGACACACAGACACACAGACACACAGACACACAGACACACAGACACACAGACACACAGACACACACACACACACACACACCCGCCCCCGCACACTCGCACGCGCCGTGCACGCGCACACCCGCGCACACCCGCCCACACCCGCGCACACACGCACACACACACGCACACACACACACACACGCGCACACACACACGCGCACACACGCGCACACACGCACGGGCACACGCGCACACACGCGCACACACGCGCACACACGCGCGCACTTGCGCACACACGCGCACACACGCGCGCACACGCGCACACACGCGCACACACACACACACACACACACACGCACACACGCGCCCACACACACGCACACACACGCACACACACACGCACACACACACACACACACACGCGCACACACGCGCACACACGCACACACACACGCACACACACACACACACCTGCAGACACACACGCAGACACACACGCACACACACGCACACACACACACACACACACACGCACACGCACACGCACACGCACACGCACACGCACACGCACACGCACACGCACACGCACACGCA